TCTCCTTGTGGTAGTCCTCCACACTCCTAGAACCCTGATACAATCCCTGCAATCTTTGATGGAGTTCTCTATAATAATGACCAGGTACAAATTGTTTTGTCACTACTGCCTTCAATTCATCTCACGTGTTGATAGGCCTCTCCTGATTCCTACACCTCAACATCACCGGCTGATCCCATAAAGTGATCGTATAATCAGTAAACTCAAGAACTGTTAATCTCACCTTCTTCTCCTCAGAGTAATTGTGACACTCAAAGATAAGCTCCACATTTTTCTCCCATTCCAGGTATGTCTTCGAGTCACCCTATCCTTGAATGGCAGAATAGACATTTTAATGTTGCCCCATACCTCCATCCACATCATCTCCATAGTTATTTTTACCCCCGACGTTCAAACCTATCACCTCTATTCCTCATTCTCCCTGATTCAACTCCATTAAACTCATCCTTAACCAGCTCACCATCATATCCATATCCAAATTCATCTCACATCTCCACCCTAGGCTCCCGTCTGCCATGTCCCCTATGAAGATTGGTGACAGATGTGTCAAGCCTATCTATCATATCTCCCATATCCTTTAACATCCTTTCAAACTGCCTCATCATATCGTCAGGCATATTTGTTCAACTACCAATCTTCTTTGAGTTTGATCTTTCACTTCCAAACTTCCTAAATTCTAAAATTTTATTTCTGCCTCACCAATATTTCTCTCCGGAATCACTCAATTTTCGATTTTTTACACTCAATTGATCTCACCACTCAACCTTTTTCCACTCGCTGCTTCCAATCAATGTTTCAAAAAACAATTCAAACTCAATTTCTTGTGGAAATTCAATCGGATTGTGTGTGAGACTCGTGAATTTTTAAAGAACTCAAAGAGGTGGACAAAAATATGAAAGGAATTATGGAAACTCAAGAAAGTGGTTCTTGAATTTTTTACTAATTGGATAGAAAAATATGAAACTGGAAGGACTAAAGATTATTTAAACAATAACAATAAGTTTTCCCTTTTTTATCCACAATTTTTGATTTTTTTTTTTTACTTCTGAACAGTACCGTGAATAGTAAAAATTCGACTACGACGCTAACGGAACAATTGGAAGTGGATTTGGACGTCACATTTGTCCAAAAACAAGATTTGAATTTTTTTAATGGATCTGAGACACAACAAATGAAGAAAATACGAAGAACACAAAAAGGAATCGAGCAAAATAAAATTAAAAGACTCAACAAGAAAATAAAATGATATAACCTTCGATTTTGGTGCCTAAGCTCTGATAACAACTGATGTAGACCCAGTTAGCACGGCCACTAACGAACCCAGAACTAGATTGACATGAATCCCAAGAAAGCCAAGAATCATCGATTTTGGATTAAATTCACAAACGATGAATTAAGTAATCGTTAATATGTGAAATTAACGACCTTTTATTTACACAATTTATAAATCTCACTCGGATTTGTTTTGAACACCACAAGATTAACAAATCTTGATAAGTTATATTTGTTCTTCAAAGAACAAGAAATTAGAAGCAAAACAACCCCTTTGTATTGATCTCTCAAATGTCAAAGTTCCAATAGAATGAAAATAAAGTCATAATTATATGAAAACCACAGGATCTAATTAAAAAAGTAAAAATACGTTCAAATAATCCTAAAAATAATAAAAGATTAGAATTCTACTCAAAATAGGAAACTCACGAAAAATTACAACTTTGGTCCCCGAAGTATACTATGCGGCCACATAGATCAAAGTGTAGCTACTCTTTAATTCCCTGTCACCCTGTATGCGACCGCATGGATGGAACCACTATAGGTCCCATAGTAGCCAGTCTTGGCTCCAAATTTGGCCTTGTGAATCAAATGCCTCCCATCCATTTTGACCTTCGTCTCCAACACCAATCATGCTCCTTGGCATGTCAACCCTGTGAACTCCATAGCTCGGCCATGCAATTGTGTGACTTGTATTCCCCATTCGAGGTCTCAAATGCGGCTTTGGCTTCTTCCAATCAATCACCAGGTTCTTGATAATCGGCGGCGTAACCCAGATCATATTAGAATGTGTAATTAAAAAGTAGAAAAAAGATTATGATTTACGCGTAGAATATTTTATTACATGAATATGCAATTGAAAATAAATATATAGAAAAAAGTTTTAAAAGTATGATTGTCAAACATGTACTAAATATTATCAGATATTTTGAACTTTTTATCAAATCTTTCTCTAGAATTTTTGCCTAGAAATAATGTTATTTATCTAGATTGCTAAAACTAAGGTATTAGATCTCTGATATGTGACTCGTACCCCTACATTAAAGAGATCCGATTACTTAAGGTCACTATTGATAACTAAATGGATGACTGTCATGAACAATCTAAATCTTGTTTGCCCACATAGAAAAATGAAGAGCAGTACAAATTTATTGCTAAAAAGTTGTTTAGTGATAAACGTAGTTTCCAAACTTATTTGGGACCTAAATGATGATACTTTGTTATTCTTTGGATGGATTACTACCTAATTTGTTATTTTTTCTTTTATTAGGAAAAATTCATGTTTTGAAGAAGAATTGGAAGAAGGAACGAAAAATGGCTAAAATGAAGCAAATCCAAAATTTAGGGACTAAAATGCAAACACTCAAAAGTTGTTGTGGACCTGACTATGAAGATTTGAGAGTGCTTGGGGTCAATTGGATGAGAAAAGAAATCAAAGGGATGAATTATAGTCAAAATATTATCACACATCAACTTTCAACCGAAAATAGTTATACTTCGAATTTTCAGCCTCATATTGAGACCCAACTTTGGCATAGCAAACATTCGAATTGGAAAATTGATATTTCAAGAAGAATTGTAGCCCTCTAAGTAAGCTTTTTCAATGCATTTTAAATTACCTCAACTGGATATCGAGAAAGAGTGTTATGACAACTTTTGAAAAGTATTTGGTTCTCAAAAATTAGACAAGGCATGTGCCCTAGCCCATAGGAAAGGTGAGCGTCCCCAAACAAAAAATAAGCAACTGAGGCACCCAAGACTCCCATGGCGCGCCTCAATGGTAAACGGTGAAAAAATCTAGTTTTTCTTATTTTATTTTGGTAAGCAACCTCCTTAGCGTAAGATAAATAAGAGAACACGTCCAGAACTAAGTGTGAACTATTGAAAGTCAACTTTTTGAGAGAAATAGAGATAATTTATATTGAAGAACGAAGAATTCAACACTTGGATCCGGATTTAAAGGCATAAATTAAAGATTTTCATATTTTCTTCATAGTTTAATGATTCAGGTAATGACTTTCTCTTATTTTCTTTGCAATTCTTACATTAATATGTTAGGCTAAAATCCTTTGTATTGTATGGATAACAAAATTCTTTGATTATTAGTTTTTAATTTGAAACTGTGTTTTTATTTTAATTCTTGCATTGTGATTTCATTAATATGTATAATTACATTGTTTTAATCTTTCTCACACCATTAGGATAATAAGTTACTTATTCGTAGTATTGAAAAACTCACAACAGGTATAACACTGTTATTGGAACACACAAACAATAAATAATAGGAATAGTATTTATGACGTGTGCAATTATGTATGATAATCCTAAACATCAATGCATGTTTCCCATATGAATTTGAACCAGAAATAGGATCGTCTCGTGATAATCATATGTTTATTATATCTTAAGAAAGAATTGTAAATACAAGTGAAATTATCGATTGTCATAATTGCATGAATTGAGTTAATTATCATTAATTGAGAATTAGAACTAAGAATTGATGAGTGGAGTCAGAAATTCAATACATTCACCCACATTTGACTTTTAAACCAATTGTTATTAATTTCACAAGTTTTTGTTATAAAGCGTAATCCGTTACCAATCAAGAACCTTTTGTTACAATCACGAATTTAAATATATCAAATATATTAGAATTGACCCTTAAATATATCAAATATATTAGAATTGACCCTTATTCTCAATGGAGCGATAACTCTCACATCACGTTTATTACTTATACAACAAAGTCGTGACCATGCAGGACTTTGTCGAACATTAAGGATAGATATGAATTGTACTAAAAAAAGTTGACATTTAGGCTAAAATATATAGATAGTCCACAAAAATTTCTCTACAATGTAACATGTTTGAGGTTATATCTAGCTAATGTAGCAAAAAAATAAAATGTAGACTATTAAGAAGATTGTCTAGATTTAAAAGTTCTTTTAGACGGAGTGAGTAATCATAATTTAGGCCCCGTTTAATTTTCATTTTTATCAAAATGCATTTTTCACTCTCTTCTTTTTACCTACACATTCTTCATTAAAATAATATTACACATAAATAAAAAAACTTTTCTTTATTTTTCATTCAAACATTCTCCATCCAGAAATAAGCGCCAACTATTCATATTTTTATTCAAAGTAAAGGTGGATCACAAACGGTATCTCCCCATGGCCTTTCGCCTCTTAAAGCGTCCTTCCTTTTCAATATTCATAGAGCCGAATAAAACTTTCTTTCGAATTAAGTGAGCCTTGGATAATAAAGACTTTCTTTTTAAGACATTCTATCAGATGAAAGAAGACCGAAGGCCTAATGCGAGTCTTTTTTCGTTGGGTGGGGGGGGGGTTCTCTTACTAGCGCCTAAGCAGATGTCTGGAATGGCTGTAGTGGGAAAGACTCTTTATAACATGGTTCGTGGGCATCCATTCAATACATTCTTTTCGATCTTGTACCATGTACACTGAACACCAACCCGATCTCTACTATTCTAAAATTTATTTTTTCAACAAAATGAATGTCAAACATCCTCTTAATATTTTTTCATTTTCTCTCTCATATTTATCATGTTTTCTCTCTCTTATTAAATATAAATATACATCCATTGAAGATGAAATATATTATGTTGTGCTTCGATAGACATTATTTGAGAGTATTTTTTCGTTAATTATTTTCAACCACAGGAGACCTGTAACTTTTACTATCTTTGATTATTTTTTCACTTGGAATAATATGAGTGGATTAACCACCTCTGTTCATTTACTGTAATTGACCAATCCCAGCGGTCCAAATATGCTAAGGTAGCGTGTTAATTTCTACTCCTGCCAAACAAGAAACAAAGAACCAAGCTGAGAAAAATCAAAATTCTCTCTAGAATCCCTCATCAAGTTTTGTGAAGATGATGCACATGACCCTCTACTGGGGCAAAAAGGTTACGATCTTGTTTGATTCATGGAAAACCGATTCATGGACCAGCTATTTGCTTTCTCTTCTTGCGTGCTTCCTCGTCTCCGTTTTCTACCAGTACATGGAGAACCACCGCCTCAGATTCAAGCTTCTTTCTGTCAAAACCCAAAAATCTCCGCCATCGTCCAATGGGTCGGCTGCCCTCAACAGCCCTTTACTCTTATCGAAGTTCGCCGGTGGAGGCGGCAAATGGACTGCAGCGAGATTTGCCGGGGCGATCTTATTTGGAGTCAACTCTGCGATCGGATACCTTTTGATGCTGGCGATCATGTCTTTCAATGCCGGAGTGTTTATTGCAGTGGTGGTGGGGCTTGCAATTGGGTACCTGGTTTTCAGGGGCGGCGATGAGGACGTGGTGGTCGTAGAAGATAATTCATGTGCTTGCTCTTGAATCCTTGCATAAAATAAAAAATCCTCTTCTTAGTGGGATTTGATCTTAGATCTTGAATCTGTTGATCATATGTAATGTATTGTGAAATGAATATTAGATTTTAGGGTTGTGCTGTGGTGTACACAGCGTTATCCTATATTTTATTTCTACTTTTGGCATTAGTTTGAGTGGATCTGTGATTTTATCTTCTTGGGATGTGGTAATACGTGGATTTCGTTTGCTCATAGCTACTTCAGGGATGGAAGATTCTTTACTGAAATTCTGATATTTCTACTACTTGGCATAGCTAAATATCCTATCATGAATGGACTGTTTTTTTCTTGTATCTTGATACATGGACATCAAGTACTACATGATGTTGCATATCATTTTTTCATTTGTTAATTTAAAATACATTCAACTTTTTTATCTAATATTTTCCCTTTACATCGTTTTATATAACACCATATGTATCATTTATGTACAAGTAGCATAATTCATTTTGTTTTCTTCATCATACGGGGAATTGGGTTGGCTTAAATAAAACTGAATTTGTCTGGGGCTTATTTGTGACGGGCAAGACACAGAAGATTGCTTCAGAGTGACTCGAGACTTCAAAAACTGTTAAACTTCCTCAAATGAATCAAACATCTTTAATTGAGACCACTCGAGAATGTTCAATTTTGTTTGCAAGATCCACCGTAGAAAAATCCCGGTAGACGATAACCCCAAAGTTCAAAGAAGAATAATGCCACTTGTTCATAATGGAATTATATAATAATTTACATACACATGAGGAGTCAAAAAGAAAGTGGAGAAATTCCATTTTCTTTAAAGCAATTCTGACCGAATCATATGTCACCAATCATGTGTTCTAAGAATTGTTAGTGCCAGTGGATCACAAGGTTCTTACAAAGCTAAGTAAAATCATTTTGCGCAAGTTTTGAGCAATGTTTTACAGGACAAGTAATATAAAGTAGATACAAAGCACGAGTTGAAACAATGAAAGAATACTCAGCCGTATCAGACACAATCCAAAGCCAAAACTTAACACACTTTACACCGCTGTTATGAACACTACTAATGTTCTACAGCTCCCTCTAGAGTTAACTTTCTCAGGTCCATTAACTGAAATGCATTGGAATTCTGTGGGCTAGGCTCAAAGGGAATGTCTCAATCTGAAATTCATACAAACAAAGCAAGATTGAAGTCTCCTGTGCAGAGATAACAAAACCACGGGAGAATATCGAACTCGAATGTGTTCCACTCTTCATTTTCCTGTCAATTTTGGTCAGAAAACACAATTCTTCACACGCACTCTATCGCTGTTCTTGAATTTTCAATGAGACTAGTTCACTCTCCTCCTGTTGGCCTCTTGGTTTCCAACTCTTTGGAAACCATCTGCGGCAGCTTTCTGGTAACCTGGCAGGATAACATGTAGCAACCATCAACTTTGAAACAAAATGAAGTGTTAATCCAGCTGATAGGAGTTAACAAGCACTAAGTTAACTTCATAAAATATCCAGTTTTTCCATCCAAACTGTAGCTAACTTTGTTCATTGTGTGATAACTGGGAAGGAGAGGGGGAATGGGTCCTTGCTTTTCCTTCCAGCAGTGGTGGTGTGGTTCTAACAAATTGATGAAAATGTGACCAACAAATACACAATCAAAATTGGGTCATGTTACTTACAGATCCAACCTTTCATAAATTGCCCTTCGCACTGAAGAGTTCAGGCCATATGCTATTGAGTTAAAGAGGCCCTGAAAAAGATTGACGGAAATCATGAAGTTGGGTCTCACATTGAAGAAGTAGAGATAACATTTATTTTTTCAGAGCAAGAGTTTTATCTAGATTTTAGAATTACCATGAGAGCAGCCATGCCAACTTCAAGCACTGAAAGCCAAAAGATTTTATGACCTGGTTCAATTAGGTCATGGATGCGGTTGATTGTACCAAAAAACCAAGATCCAATAAGAATAAGGGGATAGTAACCCCATCGATTCAATGCCTGTTAAGGTAGAGAGATGATATGTAAAACTTAATTTGACTTCTCCTGCACATTACATTCCTTGAACAATGAATATAAGTATCTGCTAATGAAAAGACCGTGGCAAAGCATACATTTATAGGCTTTGATGCATGTGTTCAATATTCCACAACTAGGTTTCACAAGCGAATGGCAGCAAGATCAGAGAAAGTGCAATTTCAAATAGTAAATTGACTCTTAAATAAGTCAATTGTCAATATGCTATAACAGACAACGAAAAAATTATAAATGCATGNGCAATTTCAAATAGTAAATTGACTCTTAAATAAGTCAATTGTCAATATGCTATAACAGACAACGAAAAAATTATAAATGCATGTCCTTACTGAAAACAAGGATTCGCACAATCCAATCTAAACCATACAGAAGGGAGATGAGTGAGACTTCAAACAATAATGTGACTCGTAAAAAGGTCAGCATGCCATAAAAGACGACAACACAATTTTATACGTGTCATTACTGAAAAGAAGGATTCACATAATCCAAACCAAATCATAGACACGAGTGATGAGAGATAGGATAAGTAAAGATTCGAACATTATCTCCCCAACCAGAAAACTTCACCAAAAGAGGAACACCGCATAGACAAGTCAAGACATGACCCAATAAAAGGCATGTACATGGCACTAGGTTGCAGCTTCAATTTTCTTAAAAAATGCATGATCTCGATCCAAAGTTTTAAAATACTCAAACATTATATAAAAAAATGGAGAACAGAACTCAAAACCTTTGCATCTGGCCGTGCATCTGATTGGTACACTCGTTCAGACATTCCCGCTAACATCTGGAACAACAAATCATGCATTAATGTGGCATCAATCCATCAAACAACCAAAAAAGGGTTTCAGGCACCTCAACCCAATTCCAGAAACACAAGAAGGAAACGAAATATCCAGATAATAGTTACATACACGCGTGGCATTGTTTAGCATGCGTATCACTTGAAAATAGGTGATGCCGTTGAAAAGAATTGCCCACCAGAGCGGTGCATAAAATGATATGAAGTGAACCGCCTGCAGGAATAAATAGGTCACCCACAAATTTAATAGTCCAAAGGAATGAAAGCAAGATAAAAACGTTACAGATGAAACTACAGAGGCCCAACAAATAATTTAGCATAAAAAAACTCAACATCTAATGGCTTTCGATCTTATAATTAAGATTTTATACTATGATCAGTTGATCAAACTATGCCCCTGTTTGGGCTCTATTAAAATGAGATTTTGAGGAAAAATATGTTTTGGAATAGTGATTTTATGGAGAATGTGTGGATAAAAAATAAGAAAAAATTTTGGATCTACGTGTAACATTGTTTTACGAGAGAATGTGTGCTTGAAAATAAGTTTTGGAAAAATGCATTTTTGGCCCAAACATGGGCTACAGATTCCTTATCTATTAATCCTTTTCCCCTATCTTGTTACATGAATTTTATTTAACGTATCCTTGACATTCTAAATCTACTTGTGCAGATAAAAGGGATTATCGTAAAAAAATTATCATCCTTTCAAGTACAAACAGAAATCTGAGTGAAATGTCTTATGAGGAATTGATGGATAGTCAATAGGCCTGTTAAAACTCCGAGTCTCGGACCATAATCCTTCTCCACATGAACAAGCCACTTTAGGCAAAAGGCTAAACCTTGTTTTCAACTACCCACAGAAAAATAACTTGTTGCATTGAGTTGCTGTAAACTATGATGTTGCAATGATAAACAAAAGAATAAATGCCCAATCTAGAGCAGTTGCAGGACTCATCCTCTTCAAAATACACATTCATCATAAAGTTTTTGACTACATAAAGCATAAAGCACCAACACCTAGTATCATGAGAACAGGTTTAATGATTATTATGCAATACTTGCCAGCAATCAGTAACATAAAAGGAAATAGGCCACAGATCTAAGAAAATGTCTAGATTTCAAGAAAAGAAACAAGGAGAAATTTTTTATATATGCCTAGGAACTTTCAATTAAGAAAGATAACTGGTGATAAAATTATTTTATACACTTGCCTTTCCTGTACGTCCTGATTGTGCCCAACACCATGTGCCTAAACGACGTATATGCCCATGGTCATTGCCAATAGAGCGTATAACTGTCATGACAACTGAAGTACCTGTAAGAGGAGTTGACACCCAATCAGGCATAGATAGAGACGAAACGCATAAAATTCTGCACATAACATTACAAAGGAACACCGGAGGATACTCCTAGGGACACAAAGGAATACATAGAACATAGGTATACATTTCGAACAAGCTAATTGGTTATCATGGGAAAAAGCATACCCCAAACATACAAATGAAACATGGGCTCTAGATCCTCCACGTCAGTTTTATGTCTAACAACTGTTCTGTGTAGAGTAAAAGCAATTGTTGTAGTCCATAGGAAAGAAGCAACACAGAAAAAATGTGTTGTATAACCCTGAGCATAGCAAAAGAATCCTTTAGATGGATCCCTGCACAAAAGAATAAAGATGGGTAACTTAATTTTCTATTTCATGAAAATGACATGAAAAATAGATTGTATTTAGCTGCTACATTCATACCCAATGATGCTGAAGAAACTGCAAAACATGTCCTGCACCAAATAAAGCAATACCTTAAAAATATGGATTTTAAAAGCACAAAACGATGAACAAAGAAGTTTGTTTTCCAAGAACATGGTGAATGAGCAGCAAATAAGAAAAAATTGAGAAGGCATGTGAGTATTTGCAACAGAAAAAAAACATCATAATGAACTTCAAAAAAAATAAAAATATAAACAAAAACTGATGTAAGACAAAGAAGGTTTTCATAGTCAACAATCAGGTAAACATAATAACACAACACCCGGAGACAAGACATCAGAAATCAACACAGCCCACTGACAGCATATAAAGACAACAGTAAAAATGCTATCAAGCAGAAAATGTTTGATTCTATTAGAGATGATCAAGAAATATGTACTGTAACAAAACTAAAAATCAGGAGCAGGCAACAGCATCAAGAGCCAGGACCAATACAAGAGTTTTCAGAGTTAAATCCAAAGATCAATGTATTCCAATTTAGTGAAATTTGGAATTGAAACTGAAAAGAAATCCAGTTTGGAGACCTGAATACCGTGCAACCAAATGTACTGCGCCTGATCGATTACATTTTCAAATAGTAAAATATTTCAAACTTGAGATTTTCATTTTTTCTTCTTCTACATCTACTTTACCTAATTTAATTTAAAATAATTTCCAAAAACCTCGTATCAGTGCAATTATGATCCTCAGAAGCAACCTCAATTTTTTTTCGTAATTAACCGTCGAATCAAGTAATTAATTACAATATTATCAACGATGATTAAATTTCAGTTAGTTGAAAAAAAAAAA